ATTAAACACGATAGACGTAATAAACAGTAATTAGGCCGAGCAGTCTAACATTAAACACGATAGACGTAATAAACAGTAATTAGGCCGAGCAGTCTAACATTAAACACGATAGACGTAATAAACAGTAATTAGGCCGAGCAGTCTAACATTAAACACGATAGACGTAATAAACAGTAATTAGGCCGAGCAGTCTAACATTAAACACGATAGACGTAATAAACAGTAATTAGGCCGAGCAGTCTAACATTAAACACGATAGACGTAATAAACAGTAATTAGGCCGAGCAGTCTAACATTAAACACGATAGACGTAATAAACAGTAATTAGGCCGAGCAGTCTAACATTAAACACGATAGACGTAATAAACAGTAATTAGGCCGAGCAGTCTAACATTAAACACGATAGACGTAATAAACAGTAATTAGGCCGAGCAGTCTAACATTAAACACGATAGACGTAATAAACAGTAATTAGGCCGAGCAGTCTAACATTAAACACGATAGACGTAATAAACAGTAATTAGGCCGAGCAGTCTAACATTAAACACGATAGACGTAATAAACAGTAATTAGGCCGAGCAGTCTAACATTAAACACGATAGACGTAATAAACAGTAATTAGGCCGAGCAGTCTAACATTAAACACGATAGACGTAATTAACAGTAATTAGGCCGAGCAGTCCAACATTATAAACGATAGACGTAATTAACAGTATTAGGCCGGGCAGTTCAACATTAAACACGATTGACGTAATAAACAGTAATGAGGCCGAGCAGTCTAGCATTAAACACGATAGACGACATAAAAAGCAATTAGGCCGAGCAGTCTAACATTAAACACGATAGACGTAATAAACAGTAATTAGGCCGAGCAGTCTATCATTGAACGAAACAAGCGACAGGTTTAGCCTTGGGGACTGAATCTTTAACCAAAAAAAAATATAAAAAAGATCCATCAGTCATCATGTTTAGAATTTTAAATCTTAAAATTTTAGAAAATCGGCTATATTTTGGAAAATACTTAATCATTGTTCCATAAATAGATACACATGTAACAATAAAACACCTCCTTATTGATATATATATATGTATATATAAACACCTTATAATTGATATATCTTCTCCCCCAGCTTAACAGACAGTGCCTTAAACGTTCAAATACGTTTTACTCAGAAATTCTTTAAACACTGAAAAGAAATGTACGTTTCATTTTCTTCTGGTCATTTTGAGTCCTATAAATTTGTAATTTTGTATGCATATCGATTTTTTTTGAAAATAAATAAATGGATTAAATTATTCCTTAAGTGTTTCGTTAAGTCTACCTTTCCTTGATAACCGAGTGCTGGTAGCTATAGAGTAAGTAAGGCTACCATTAACACTATCTCCAGGCACAAGTCTATACATGCCGGATAGATATCACTTTTTATGCAAAATTTACTCCTGGTTGAGCTTTTCCCTGTTGAAGTTGTCGTAAAGTTTTCTTTTACGTAAGCACGCAGTTCACTGATTCAGATAGTGACATATATTTACGTAAGCACCCAGTTCACTGATTTAGATAGTGACATATATTTACGTAAGCACGCAGTTCACTGATTCAGATAGTGACATATATTTACGTAAGCACGCAGTTCACTGATTCAGTTAGTCATATAGATTTACCACATCAAACACGTACGTGATGGTTTTATCGAATAAACACGTTATAAAAAAAATCATCTGAGACGATTTACGGTATTCATATGCAGAAATACTAGATAAATATCAATAATATGTTTTCAAAGATATCGGTTTTTTTAAACGCCTGAAGGAAATTTATTAAAACGAATGAATTAAGCGTAACACTATAGGATTAATTTACCTGGTTTTGGTAACAGACAAAATGATCACAAGAAATTTGAACAGACATTACTTTTGTAAAAAAAACAATATGCAAATCTTGCAAAATTTAACTTCCTTGTCTATCTCACAATCACCAACTCCCTTTGGAAACAAGAATGATGAAAGCAAGAAAGTGACAAATGGGATTTTGATTGTGATTTCAAACCAGGTAATTACCAGTAGTTTGAATGTGAGAAGAAACCCTATGACAATCAGAAATAGAAATCACGTGCCTAAATTTTTAAAATACAGTGTATATCCTTAACTGACATATTATTGTATCAAAAACTAGATTAGCTAACAACGTAAACTCTATGGGCAATACACAAGCTGCACATTAAAGAGAAACATAAAGATTAATCATGAGGTCAACGAAAGTGATACAAACATTTAAAAATTGTAGTCTCTCGTTCAGTTATCAATTCAAACCAGAAGCTGGATGTTATTTCAATATATCAACTAAAATGATGAAACAACTAACAGTATATAATAACAATAATCATACACGGAAACCAAAAGTATAAGGGACCTATGTACTGACGTCGGGTAGACTCAATATAATACTGTGAGTTGTGATGTTTGGTAGACTCAGTATAACACTGTGATTTGTGATGTTGGGTAGACTCAGTAAAATACTGTGAGTTGTGAGGTTGGGTAGACTCAGTATAACACTGTGATTTGTGATGTTGGGTAGACTCAGTAAAATACTGTGAGTTGTGAGGTTGGGTAGACTCAGTATAGCACTGAGAGTTGTGATGTTGGGTAGACTCAGTATAACACCGTGAGTTGTGATGTTGGGTAGACTCAGTATAACGCTGTGCGGTGTGTTGTTGGGTAGACTCAGTATAACACTGTGATTTGTGATGTTGGGTAGACTCAGTAAAATACTGTGAGTTGTGAGGTTAGGTAGACTCAGTATAACACTGTGAGTTGTGAGGTTTGGTAGACTCAATATAACACTGTGAGTTGTGAGGTTGGGTAGACTTAGTATAACACTGTGAGTTGTGAGGTTGGGTAGACTTAGTATAACACTGTGAGTTGTGAGGTTGGGTAGACTCAGTAAAATACTGTGAGTTGTGAGGTTAGGTAGACTCAGTATAACACTGTGAGTTGTGAGGTTTGGTAGACTCACTATAACACTGTGAGTTGTGAGGTTGGGTAGACTTAGTATAACACTGTGAGTTGTGAGGTTGGGTAGACTTAGTATAACACTGTGAGTTGTGATGTTGGGTAGATTCAGTATAATACTGTGAGTTGTGATGTTAGGTAGACTCAGTATAACACTGTGAGTTGTGAGGTTTGGTAGACTCAATATAACACTGTGAGTTGTGAGGTTGGGTAGACTCAGTAAAATACTGTGAGTTGTGAGGTTAGGTAGACTCAGTATAACACTGTGAGTTGTGAGGTTTGGTAGACTCAGTATAACACTGTGATTTGTGATGTTGGGTAGACTCAGTATAATACTGTGAGTTGTGATGTTGGGTAGACTCAATATAACACTGTGAGTTGTGAGGTTGGGTAGACTTAGTATAACACTGTGAGTTGTGATGTTGGGTAGATTCAGTATAATACTGTGAGTTGTGATGTTAGGTAGACTCAGTATAACACTGTGAGTTGTGAGGTTGGGTAGTCTCAGTATAACACTGTGAGTTGTGATGTTGGGTAAACTCATTATAACACTGTGAGTTGTGATGTTGGGTAGACTCAGTATAGCACTGAGAGTTGTGATGTTGGGTAGACTCAGTATAACACTGTTAGGTGTGTTGTTGGGTAGACTCAGTATAACACTGTGAGTTGTGTTGTTGGGTAGACTCAGTAACACTGTGATTTGTGATGTTGGGTAGACTCAGTAAAATACTGTGAGTTGTGAGGTTAGGTAGACTCAGTATAACACTGTGAGTTGTGAGGTTTGGTAGACTCACTATAACACTGTGAGTTGTGAGGTTGGGTAGACTCAGTATAGCACTGAGAGTTGTGATGTTGGGTAGACTCAGTATAACACCGTGAGTTGTGATGTTGGGTAGACTCAGTATAACACTGTAAGTTGTGAGGTTGGGTAGACTCAGTATAACACTGTGAGTTGGGATGTTGGGTAGACTCAGTATAACACTGTGAGGTGAGGTGTGTTGTTGGGTAGACTCAGTATAACACTGTGATTTGTGATGTTGGGTAGACTCAGTAAAATACTGTGAGTTGTGAGGTTGGGTAGACTCAGTATAGCACTGAGAGTTGTGATGTTGGGTAGACTCAGTATAACACTGAGAGTTGTGATGTTGGGTAGACTCAGTATAACACTGAGAGTTGTGATGTTGGGTAGACTCAGTATAACACCGTGAGTTGTGATGTTGGGTAGACTCAGTATAACACTGAGAGTTGTGATGTTGGGTAGACTCAGTATAACACCGTGAGTTGTGATGTTGGGTAGACTCAGTATAACTCTGTGAGTTGTGAGGTTGGGTAGACTCAGTATAGCACTGAGAGTTGTGATGTTGGGTAGACTCAGTATAACACCGTGAGTTGTGATGTTGGGTAGACTCAGTATAACTCTGTGAGTTGTGATGTTGGGTAGACTCAGTATAGCACTGAGAGTTGTGATGTTGGGTAGACTCAGTATAACACTGAGAGTTGTGATGTTGGGTAGACTCAGTATAACACTGTGAGTTGTGATGTTGGGTAAACTCATTATAACACTGTGAGTTGTGATGTTGGGTAGACTCAGTATAACACTGTGAGGTGTGTTGTTGGGTAGACTCAGTATAACACTGTGAGTTGTGAGGTTGGGTAGACCCAGTATAACAATGTGAGTTGTGAGGTTGGGCAGACTCAGTATAACACTGTGAGTTATGATGTTGGGTAGACTCAGTATAATACTGTGAGTTGTGAGGGTGGGTAGACTCAGTATAACACTTTGAGTTGTGATGTTGGGTAGACTGAGTATAACACTGTGAGTTGTGTTGTTGGGTAGACTCAGTATACCACTGTGAGGTGTGTTGTTGGGTAGACTCAGTATAATACTGTGAGTTGTGATGTTGGGTAGACTCAGTATAACACTGTGAGTTGTGATGTTGGGTACGTATTTACACTGTAACATTGAGATATAAACCGTGATAGAGAATACGTACAGAGTAGATAAAAGAATGTGCGGCTTCCACGAAAACTGAGTCGTCATCACGGTCTGTAATACTCATATAACTTCTGACGTCATTTCCGGCAAAGGCAAGGAGAGGTTGATGGGAATGCGCATACGGAAGTTGAGTCGAGCTTACATCTGGCGGTGACGCTCTCACGTTTGTAGACTGCATGTTGTAATCACTGTTTAATACGGCCGAGTTGTGTAAGTGAAACCATTATTCTGAAACAAAACAACAATAAACGTTGAAACCTGACTCACAGGTGAAATGTTCATGAAGACCACCTGCCTGTTGAGACACTTGTCTGTATGGAACATCTGTATATAAAGACATTGGTCCATACAGAACATATGTATATCAAGATATTGGTCAATATAGAACATCTGTATATAAAGACATTGGTCAATACAGAACATATGTACATAAAGAGATTGGTCCATATAGAACATCTGTATATAAAGATATTGGTCCATATATAACATCTGTATATAAAGACAGTTGTCTGTATGGAACATCTGTATATAAAGACATTGGTACACATAGAACATCTGTATATAAAGACATTGGTACACATAGAACATCTGTATATAAAGACATTGGTCCATATATAACATCTGTATATAAAGACACTTGTCTGTATGGAAAATCTGTATATAAAGACATTGGTACAAATAGAACATCTGTATATAAAGACATTGGTACACATAGAACATCTGTATATAAAGACATTGGTCCATATTGAACATCTGTGTATAAAGACATTGGTCCGTATAGAACATCTGTATATAAAGACATTGGTCAATACAGAACATATGTATATAAAGAGATTGGTCCATATAGAACATCTGTATATAAAGATATTGGTCAATATATAACATCTGTATATAAAGACACTTGTCTGTATGGAAAATCTGTATATAAAGACATTGGTACAAATAGAACATCTGTATATAAAGACATTGGTACACATAGAACATCTGTATATAAAGACATTGGTCAATACAGAACATATGTATATAAAGAGATTGGTCCATATAGAACATCTGTATATAAAGATATTGGTCCATATATAACATCTGTATATAAAGACAGTTGTCTGTATGGAACATCTGTATATAAAGACATTGGTACACATAGAACATCTGTATATAAAGACATTGGTACACATAGAACATCTGTATATAAAGACATTGGTACACATAGAACATCTGTATATAAAGACATTGGTTTATATTGAACATCTGTGTATAAAGACATTGGTCCATATAGACATCTGTATATAAAGACACTTGTCTGTATGGAACATCTGTCTATAAAGACATTGGTCCATATAGAACACCTGTATATAAAGACATTGGTCCATATAGATCATCTGTATATAAAGACATTGGTCCATACAGAACATATGTATATAAAGAGATTGGTCCATATAGAACATCTGTATATAAAGACATTGGTTTATATTGAACATCTGTGTATAAAGACATTGGTCCATATAGAACATCTGTATATAAAGACACTTGTCTGTATGGAACATCTGTATATAAAGACATTGGTACACATAGAACATCTGTATATAAAGACATTGGTCCATACAGAACATCTGTATATAAAGACTTTGGTCCATATAGAACATCTGTGTATAAAGACATTGGTCCATATAGAACATCTGTATATAAAGACATTGGTCCATATAGAACATCTGTATATAAAGACATTGGTCCATACAGAACATCTGTATATAAAGACATTGGTCCATATAGAACATGTGTGTATACAACACTAGTCTATACAGAGCATATGTGTATGTAAATATTGGTCTATACAGACCATTTGTGTATAAAGAACATATGTCTATATATAACAACGTTGTATAAAAACACCTGTCTATTACGACCTATATCCGAATATTTAAATACATCATTACAATAAAAGATTCTTTGAAACCAGTACAACAAATGAAATCTTTGAAAGTTGCACGGCTTTATTACATGTTCCACACCAAGTTGGATTTTACGAAAAGCCTTTTTGCCCCTAGAATATAGATAATGCTTCAGCTCATTGCTTGCACTCTATATTAATGCTTCAAACTTGTTATTAGCAACAGCTTATTGCTTGCGGCGACCAAACACTGCACAACAAAACAAGCTCCAAAACTTTAACCCATTCCAACAAAGTTGTTTTGTGGGCCTTAAAAACGAAAAAAATATTTGAGCATGTTGCTTATACATCCTATAAATGCTTCAACCGTATGTTAATGATACATTACAAAAGAAATCGCATCAGAACAGGCTCCCTAGACCAAAACTATAATTCGGGGAACAGGCTCTCAAAATAAAAAATTAATAATCGAAAAACAGGCTCTTTAGACACAAACTAAAAACCGGTTAAACCCCTTCACAGCTCTGCGACCATGCCAATCACCCCGATCCTCCCCGATCTGGATTTTTTTTTTTTTATCAAATCGGGGCATTATCACCGTCAAAATCCAGCAATATGGGGAATTAAAGACTACATCACGACTGTACTGCGATGTTTCTACGTCAAAAGCGCTGCTGACGCGCTGCCACTACGATTACAGCTAGACCAATGCCGACCAAGCGGTCGTTTCTACTACGTTGCCGCTAAGACGTACATGACCATACTACGTTGTTACGAAGACATAGAAGACTGTATGACGATGTCGCTACGCTGGTGCTGAACATATTTCGCTTCTATTACTTCGTAGAATCGCCTAGAGCGTTATGAGACTATGGTAAAAGCGTAATCAAAACGGCTCGAAATAGTTGCCGACTTTGCTGCTTTTTTATATCGACCACAGAGATCTCAACACGATGCTATCGCGCTGCTTGTACGATAATGGCGTCCCCACTTCGTTCTAATAAGACTTTGTCCCGCTTTTTGTTGGCTACACGTTCAAAAGAAGCGTAAGGAGAGCCCACGGTTGGCCCCGATTGGCTAAGCTCTCGGCCACTTTTGTGTGAACGGGCATGGAATGCTTATGCATTAATGGTAAAACGGTATCCCCATGTATAAACGTCACCCCGCAAAGCTCCCGACTCGAGATTATACAGATATGCTCTTACTATACTCTCACACATGCATTGATAACATTATTTTGAGGTAAAATCTTTCACGAGCCAAATAGATAACATAATTATCTTGAGTGTATATATATTGAATTGGTCCCAAGTTCCTGGTACAAGTCAACATTGACAGTTATATATGCAAGATGCCTATCCATGTATATATATGGCCACTTGGTATATAATATAGGTGTCTAGGTGTGTCTCCGTACCCAGCATGCAGTACCCGTACAGGTCCGTGTCGGTCATCCCTTACGGCCCCGACTGTACTATCGCAAACGTATCTATATATATGTCTGTGACAGTTCACTAAGTTCAGCGAGTACCTGGTCAGATGTATCATGTACAGGGAAAGATACACGGTGTGCATATGTCAAATCTACGGATATATATACATATTAGGAAGAGAAATGAGGGGCGAAGCTAGCCGTTGTTCGGAGTGGATTAATTTAGGAGCGGGTCCAGGGCAGGTCTTGGTAGAGGGACAAAGGGGTGCAACACGCCGAGTTTTTATTTTGAGGATTCCCCAGTGTACAAGTGTATGTGCAGCTACGCGCCTGGAAATATCCTAGAAATCTTAACATATGAACAATTGTAACAAATATCACGACACAAGCAGCATATATAACGCCAACGACACCGGAGTAAATGCACCTACATAATTTAACTCAATGGAGCAAACTATAGATAAACCACCTTAACCTTGTCTTATACGTACGAGGAAAGACTGGTGACGTATTTATCTTATACAGAGGATATTGCGGAAAGATGCATTGTACAATGTTATCTAGTCGTGAAACAGCTTAACGACCCACCAATAGTTAACGACCCACCAACAAACAATCTTAGTCACATCGTAATCTTCACGACCAACCAACAAACAATATTAGTCACATCGTAATTTTAACGACCCGTCAACAAACAATCTTAGTCACATTGTAATCTTCACGACCAACCAACAAACAATATTAGTCACATCTTAATATTAACGACCCACCAACAAACAATCTTATTCACATCGTAATCTTAACGACCAACCAACAAGCAATCTTAGTCACATCGTAATCTTAACGACCCGTCAACAAACAATCTTAGTCACATCGTAATCTTAACAACCAACCAACAAACAATCTTAGTCACATCGTAATCTTAACGACCGACCACCAAACAATATTGGTCCCTGTGTTTTGCAACTGAAAACGATTGAGCAATGAGGGACTTGTCTATGTTTCGAGCGAGGAGATACGCGAGCATGTGCATATCTTACTATAAGTTTCCGCATCCATTTGTAAAACAAAGCCACTTGCTGCAGCGTCCCGAACACATGTCATCAACTGAATGCAGGTCACGTTGCTTAACCTTAATACACTCAATTACACTTTCACGTGTTAGAATAGATATAAGTAAAGCATATAATTGTATATCGTGGTTGAATAAAAACAAATCGGGAAATGTTTTAAAATATAAGTAAATTTAACATTAGGAATACAGTCTGCTGACATATACTTAGCAAAATTTGACTGAGTTGTTTTCAAGATACTTATTAAATTTGAAAAGCGATGCCAAAACTTGTTACAATTCATTAAAGGAAAATTGCTGTCTCATTCGAAGGGTACTCCAATTAACTTTTTCTTTGTTGATTTTATCAACTTAAGCTTTTCATGTGTATTATGAGCTATTACACCGCCATAAATCACTTGCCGACACACACACTGTTTAGGGCACACCTCTGATTATCCAACAACCCATCTCTAACCGATTTATGTCAACAGCATCCATTGGATGATACAATTACTCCTTGCCTGACAAAACGTCTTATTTCTTGTCGCCGAAGTTGAAACAAATTGATATCCTAAATTATGTAAAACTTCGGATAAGGGTGGTGCATTGGGTAGCGCACTTGCCTTTCACCAAGGCGGCCGGGGTTCTATTCCCCGATCAGACGTGAAAAGGTATCGGGTGACCTACCCTACCCGACCACGTGGGGGTTTTCCGGGTAATCCCCGCGCTCTAACATCCGGCCAACAAGAGTGATTAATATAGGTTGAAATAACTTGTTTCATAATTATTGCAAAATAAATAAAGTTTATATATTAATTCGGATCCCTAGGAAAACGTTTGCTATATATTTGGAA